TGAGCACAAGAGAATTCTTTAAAAAAACATTAAAAATCTTACTGTTAAAAAAATTAACTGGTAGTGTAGATATGTATCATTGCATCTAGTTGTTTTGGATTAGAATAAAACGTCAGGTCCGACAATATCATGTCTTTTTTAATTTAAATCTAGATTGATTCGCATTGGCCCAGGAAACCTCTATGAACACACTTGACTTGGCCAAAGAAATCATGGGGGACGAATTTACATTTTATTAAAAAGTGTTGTCGTATTCTACACTCATGGCGTGCACACACATTAGGATAGGTTAGATGCCTGCCTCCGCTGCGAGTCCCTATCAAGCACTTTACCGATTCAACTACTCTCTTCTTCTCCTCCTGCCTTGCTCTTTGGCCCGCATCACTCACTTGCAGAGCAAGCCAGTTCTTGATAATGCTGCTGTGAAAACGTGGTATATATATATATATATATATATGATATACACTACCAGTCAAAAGTTCAAAAGTTTCTTCTGCTCACCAAGCCTGCATTTAATCAAAAATGTTTCTTGAGCAGCAAATCCGCATATTAGAATGATTTCTGGATCATGTAACACTGAAGACTGGAGTAATTATGCTGAAAATGTAGGTATGATCACAGGAATAAATTACATTTTAAAATATATTCAAATCGAAAGCAGTTATTTTAAATAGTAAAAATATTTCACAATATTACTGTTTTTGCTGTACTTTGGAGCAAATAAATGCAGGCTTGGTGAGCAGAAGAGAATTCTTAAAAAAAAAAAATCTTACTGTTCAAATTTTTTAACTGGTAGTGTAGATATGTATCATTGCATCTAGTTGTTTTGGATTAGAATAAAACGTCAGGTCCGACAATATCATGTCTTTTTTAATTTAAATCTAGATTGATTCGCATTGGCCCAGGAAACCTCTATGAACACACTTGACTTGGCCAAAGAAATCATGGGGGACGAATTTACATTTTATTAAAAAGTGTTGTCGTATTCTACACTCATGGCGTGCACACACATTAGGATAGGTTAGATGCCTGCCTCCGCTGCGAGTCCCTATCAAGCACTTTACCGATTCAACTACTCTCTTCTTCTCCTCCTGCCTTGCTCTTTGGCCCGCATCACTCACTTGCAGAGCAAGCCAGTTCTTGATAATGCTGCTGTGAAAACGTGGGAAAAGCCGACGAGGAAGAAGTTGGGGTGAAGCGATCTTTATATAAGCAGAGCAAAATACTTCATCGCTCTGTCTATAGTGCATTGTGATTTGGGTGGTTTACGCTGTCAATACATGAGACAAACCAATGGGCCACTGGCTGCTTGCTGTCCCTGCGTGATAGTCCTTGGCAAAAAAAATAAAATATTCTGTCGGCCCCTTAAGTGCGTCTGCCCACCGGGAAAATGCCCGGTATGCCCGATTACCAGTCCAGCCCTGGCTGCGATTTTACTGTGAGTGACAGGTTGCTGGAGGACAGGGACTATTGTCCCACATCGCAGGGTTATTATAGTAAACTAAAACTAAAACCATTAAAAAAATGTATTAGTTTTCACTTAATATACTAAAATAGCTTCTTAAACTAAAACTAAAATAAAAATGAATAAAAACTATACAGACATACCTAAAAAAAACAAAACACTTAACAAAATTAATTAAACTTTAACAAAAATAAACTGAAAAAGAAAATACAAAAATAAAACAAATTACAAAATATAATAGTGTCTTAATGCCATTAAAATAACAATAGTCTCACATATTGTGAGAGGGAGGGGAAGTTATTTTGAATTAAATTTCATAAAAATATATTCCAAAATAATTAAATAAGAATTGTCAGTTTTGATTTCACGGTGACTTTAATACTTTGGCTCTGGGGTTTGTTGAAATTCCAAGGATGTGCAAAAGCAAAAGTCATGCTTGCCCTAGCAAATACAATGAAATAAAAGTGCTAAATGCATTATTGCAGCCCAAGACGCTTGTCTACATATGACTAGAAACATAAACAGACTCATGAATAAAACCAACAGGAGGAAGATTCGTATTCCCCGGCAGCTAGACAAATATAAATTGTATCTCGACAAAGAGGGGGAGGTGAACACAGAGGAAGAATGAATGAGGATGTAAAGCTCTGTGACAGCATTCTAGCCGAGCACAGATGTGCTGCTCATCGCAGTTAAATCACAGCAACAGATGAGCGCCTTTATCAGAACTACTGTAGACTTTACCCAGCAGAAGCCGGTGGCACACGGCCCGAGCCCATACAACCTGACAGTCATACAGCCTTACCTTAGAGTTCAGCACTTCAAACGTCATGTTCTGTGGTGGAGCACTGGGAACTGAACAGAGGGAGAAGAGTATTAGTTCACATATCCTCAGCTTTTATTAAAGTAGACATATTATGCCCCTTTTTACAATATGTAATATAAGTCTCTGGTGTCCCCAGAATGTGTCTGTGAAGTTTCAGCTCAAAATACTCCACAGATCATTTATTATATCATTTTGAAAATGCCTATTTTGAGAGGAAGCAGAAACACATTGTTTTTCGTGCTGGTCTCTTTAAATGCAAATGAGCTGCTGCTCCCCGCCCCCTTTTCCAGAACAGAGCTGCGCCATTACAGCTCATACCTGCTAAACATCTGTTTTGGTTCTGATTATCATGTTTATCACGCTGAAATAATGCATTTTAAACCATACGAGTTTAAACTTCTGATATACGGTTTTCTGAGCGCACACATCCGAAGCACACGGACAGAAAGCGGCTGTCACAGGCATGTGAGTACTAAACTAAGTTCTCATTCACACACAAGTTTACGTTAAAACACACGAGTTACAAAAAACAGTCGGTTATGTCTGTGAAGGTAAACAGCTGGAAAATAAATTGCATGTTTATTTTAGATCTGTGTGGCAGCAGGAATATACCGTAAATAAATTAATAAATACTCTGCTCTGTTGTCTCCTCTGAGGCTGGGACTCTAAATAGTGTTCTGTGCTCGTCTGTGCAGCCAATGACAGAACAGTTAGCATGTTTTGCTCAAACTTTCGCCATGGCATTAGAACTAGTACACTGTGGTCGCTTGTGAAAACACAATAACGGTGCCATGGGTGTAAACTTACAGATTAAGGGGCGGTAATATTATAATGAGATCCCTTTGCCACGTCACCAAGGGAGCGAAATCTGACGCGCTCGTTTTCTCAGACACTTGCAGAAAAAGGCTTCCCAAAAACAAAGTTACAGCGTTAATCTTTTTCACGTTTCCTTGGTTGGTAGATGCACTGGGGACCTGATTATAGCACTTAAAACCTGGAAAAGTCAGGTTTTCATGATATGTCACCTTTAAGGCAAGGCACTCCCCAGGTGAACAGGCTCAAATGTTTAACTAATGTTAATGTTTCCCCAGTTTATTATTCACAACACATTAAAAGGATAGTTCACCCCAAAATGAAAATTCTAAGAAATTTTGAAGAATTTTGGTAACCAAATAGTTGACGGTAGCCATTGATTTCCACAGTATACAGTACAATGCAAGTCAATAGCTACCGTCAACTGTTTAATTACCTACATTCTTCAAAATATCTTCTTTTGTGCTCAACAGAAGAAATAAACTCATACAGGTTTGGAACAACTTGAACATGGTAAGAAAATGATCACAAAATTAAAATTTTTGGGGCGAATAAAGCCTATAAGACAATTTTTTATTTTATTTTACACGTTTTCTGTAATGTTATGTTCAAATATGCAAATGTTGCATTATCTAATTAAATATACACTAATTTGCATATATTTCTAGAACAATAAACTGAATACTGCATAAAACCTGGTTAAATTTTTTGCTGACATATTAGAGTTAAAGGCTTCTACTGATGGGATCTCTCTTTTTATTGCTCCATAAATTAGAAAATACAGCCTGAAATGTTAAATTAATGTTAAATTATGTTAATGTTATATGTGCAAACCCTTCGGTAAACACCTTCAGAATATAGACAGGAACAAAACTGCCAAGTTTTGTGTATGTAAGTCCTACTGAAGTCTAGATTTCAGGCTCATTGCATGAGGGAAAAACTCATTATGAGAAAATAGCCTTTAAATATAAGTATTGTAACTGAAATCCACAGACACAAATAGATAAAGTGTAATGACATAACAAATGAATGTACATTTTGGATATTTTCTTTCCACTAGACTGAAAGAAGACAAAATCTCAAAACAGAGCAGAGCCTGAATGAATAATGGATTTGTCTGTAGTGTTTGGTCTTAAATGGCTCTCTTGTGGACTGGATTCTGATTCTGGTCAATACCAGCATTGAGTGGCCAAATATTTTTATATAATGACTACTAAACTGTACATTTCACCACTGTCCATGGCTTCTTTCATATATGTGACCCTGGACCACAAAACCAGTCTTAAGTCGCTGGGGTATATTTGTAGCAATAGCCAAAAATACATTGTATGGGTCAAAATTATTGATTTTTATTTTATGGCAAAAATCATTAAGATATTAAGTAAAGATCATGCTCCATGAAGATGTTTTGTGAATTTCCTACTGTAAATGTATTCAAACTTAATTTTTGATTAGTAATATGCATTGCTAAGAACTTCATTTGGACAACTTTAAAAACGATTTTCTCAATATTTGGATTTTTTTGCACCCTCAGATTCCAGATTTTCAATATAAGTTGCATCTCGGGCAAATATTGTCCTATCCTAACAAACCATACATTAATGGAGAGCTTATTTATTCAGCTTTCAGATGATGTATAAATCTCAATTTCGAAAAATTGACCCTTAT